GCTCCCTGTCAGCCTGCCTGTGCCTCTGTGGATCCTCTCATTTCTCCTTGATTTTTAAGGTGATTCCACCATCCCATTTCTTTGGGAATTACTTGCTGCCTGCCTGCCTGCTTCTGCACATGACTTAGAGAAGAGAAGAAAAATATCAAGTGATGGGGAAAAGAGACCTGGCCACACTTTAGTCATTCTGGATTTTTCTTTCTTTCTTTCTTGAGCTTTTTTTGCTTGTTTACTTGCTGTTCTTTTTTTGGGGGGAGGGAACTCTCTCTCTCTCTCTCACCCTGTGATACTGCAACTTTTTTTTCTGAGTGAGGGTGGCTGCTTTCCCTGTTTAATTTTCTAAAATTGTTATTTTGTTAATTAATGGTGTATTCATTTCATTAAAGTTATATATTTATGTGGGATTTTTTGGACATGATTTTGTTTGATGATAGTAGTGGTTGGTTGTAGTCTTGCCTGCTGTTCAAATAGATTGATTGTCTGCTGCCTTGCCTCTCTGCTTTTTTGGAGCTGTTGTTTTTAAGGGTTCTTTCAGGGCTTCAGTGCCAAAAATTCCAGAAAATGTTTAGCTGCCAATGGGGAGAGAAGAGCACAGATGCTGGAACAGGCTGGCTCTCTACAGTCATAGATAGATACAAAGAGTTTACTTGTTCTTACAGGCACCATTTTGTTTTGGTGATGGCCAGCAGTATTGCTTGGAATGGCCACAAAGAACAGCCTTTCCTGTGGGCAATATTCTACAAGCTTTTGCAAAAAGTGTGTCCTTCACCATCTGAAAACATACTATCCCATCTATATAATGGAGACAATTAAAACTCACCATGCCAACCATCTGGTGTCATATTTAGCTGACCAACATGATGACCACTGCCACCTACTCCATAAATGTAGCATGCTTTAACTTCCTCGCCTTGAAAGTCTTAAAAACTGAGCTGCTGCTCTTATTCTGTTAGGAACTTGGTAAGAGATACTTCTTAACGCTGAAATAGGGACAATCGGCCACAAAATCTCCCAAAGGTTCCCTGTGGAATTTATGGCTGGTGTCATCATTTACCGGCAGGGAATTAAAAAAAAGAAGGGGAGAATCAACCTTGGCCTGTTTTGCCACAGACAATTCCATCTATAGCTAAAATGTGCAAAACTCTTAAAACAGATGTTGTCTACCTAACCTACAGTGATAAATCCCAGCTGGCTGTACAACTACTTTGGCAGACAGGCTAATGCTATGTGTGGTCCACAGCTTAAAATGGAGGGCTTCAGGAAAAGATCTGCTGAGCAGGTGCATTAATAAATACAAAAAAAACAAGGCTCTCATCGGAAGAATTTAAGCAGCAGAGTGTGGCAGAAACCTGTAGCTGTTGCTGCTTGAGTGACAAGCAGTGAGTTTTGATTGAAAACAGGCTATTAATGGATACAATTAAGACACCCGTTTCGGTTTAAAGATGAACTGGCCGTGGAGCGGCAAACTGCTCCTGCTGAGCCATGTAATCAGGGAATGAAGTTGTAATTGTGGCCTCTTCTTGTTTTGCTGCTCTTGGAGATGCCGGATAGAGGATTCAATTTAACAAACAATTTGCCACATGGGTCACCCCTGCTGTGTGGCAAACGAAAGCTTTCGCATATTTCCCCACCCCACCCTGCCCTGCCCCCTCTCCCCTACATCTCTATAACTTTTGGAACCTGTTATGTGCAAAATGATTTGAGGAAGACAAAGTCACACCCCCCCAAAAAAACCTCTTGATATGGCCAAGCAGGATTATCTACATTCCCTCCCCCTCTCTCACACACAACCCCAAATTCCTCCTCCCATTCCCTTTACTAGATCTTCTGTACAACCATGCCAGAGCAAATTGTGTTCTGGAAAGAGCCTTTTACTTGCAACCACTTTTTTTCTTTTTTAAAGGCTGAAATTACACACTTTGTGCCTTCTATCCTGTCTTTTCTCTCCTGGAGGATAATTAGAATGGATGAATCCGCTGGCTGTGTTTTCTCCCACATTTAGTTTGCTGGGTATTTTTTAAAAAAAACCCATTTTGAGTACTTTCCTCCCAGATTTATGAAGGAATCGGCAAATTTTCGGAAGGGCTTCTAAACAATGTAACAAACAAAATTCTCAAACATCTGCAATGGCAAAATTTAATATGTAAAACTATTCCAGCATGCAGAGGATAACCTCATACCCACCTACCTCATGTCTGTTCAACAGGAGGAGCCTCTAGGCAAAATGAGATGGCAGCCTTGTCTTAGCACGACAAGGACAGACTTCATAGTGCGAAACCTGCCAAGCTTAATTCTCCCATATCTGAATTTTTAAAATCTCAAATACATTTGGTCATGATTTATGAAGAAGTTAGCTACTGTGGGCGAGTTCTCATAAAAGCCCTCCCCCAATAGAGAAAAATTCCCATCTATAGAGGATGATTTGCAGGAACTCTTTGGTGAACACCCTAGACTTAGCCACCACATATGAATAACGCTGAGCAACTTGTCAGTCAGCCCAGGGCTAATTTCCACAGTCTCTCTGCCTGGGGCAAGCCTTACTTGCTTTCTTTTTCCAAAAGCGCTGCTCATGGTGTGAGTAAAGGACAGCGAGGCAAAGAAATGGGGAGGAAGATGGAAGAACAGTGAGATGCATCTTCTCCTCAGTCATGGCACAGATTGTTCGACATTCATTTACTTGTGCAGACCAGGGCCAGGAATGTTGTTTCCGTTCAATGTTGCTGAATTCCGTATCCCATCATATTAGCCAACCTGGCCAATGGTGGGGGGATAGCTCAGTGGTTTAGGGATCTGGCTGTGGAGCTAGAGGTTGGTATTTCGATTCCCTACCATGTCCCCTTGACAGGGGCTGGACTCAATGATCCATAGGTTTCCTTATCCATTATGGACTTACACACCTGAGCCTCAGAGGCAGCTCAGATAGGTCCCTCTTTCAATCCCAACAGGTATTTTTTTTCTTATCTTTAGTAAATTCTGCAGTAATAGTTGGTCCAGTTATTAAGGGGCAGCACCCAAGAACACCTCTTTGACTGCGTTTGCTGTGTAAACTTGGTGCAGTGGTGCAGAGCCCAGTGGCCCCTCAAAGGACACACTAGAGAGCTGCAGGGAGAGACACAGCCGTGAACAGATACTTTGGCTACTCCGGGGTCTTCCCAACTGTGTACATCACCATCTAAAGAGATGCGTTATGTTCAGACTGTAAAGTCTTTGCCCTAAAATTGCATGGCTGCTCTGCTCTCCAAAGTACTCTATACTCCATGAAAACTGAAGTTGCCCTCCATGAAAACTTATGCCAAATAAAATCTGTTAGTTTCCAAGACATCAGAGAACACTTTACTGTTTTTGCTTCAGCAGACTGACTCCGCTGACCCTCTAGAGATTGTAATAGGATACGTGGAAGGCAGGACATTCCTAAATGGAGTGACATGGTTGACATTTACCTCAAGTGTCAGATGTTGGAGGACAGAAGTGGCATATCTGCCATTTCTCTAATTTGGAGGCCAGCCCTGTTCTGATCTGCCAAACCTGGCCTGCTGATGCCCATATGCCGGAAGACGTTTTCTCATCACTTGTATTGAAACTGGATCTAACTGGCAAGTTATGCTGTTCCCATTTCTGACTGTTCCCAGCACCTATGTTTTTAATGCACATGGCTAAATTTTAGTATATCCTTAATTTGGGGGCCTTTGGGGGGGCTCCTGTTTTGGTTTAGGGTTCTTTCTGGTACAGTGCCTTTCTTTAAACCTGAAAGTACTCAGATCTTTTTGGTTCTTTCCTTTTGTATTTCCCGTCCTGGCTTAATAGCTCAATGGTTTAGGCATCTGGCTGCAGAACCAGAGGTTGGGAGTTTGATTCCCCCCACTGTGCCTTCTTGACAGGAGCTGGACTCGATGATCCATAGGGTCCCTTCCACCTCTATAGTTCTAAGATGATGGTGATGATGATGGTTTCTGATGCTAGGGGCAATTAAGTTCTACACTAAAACTAATAAAATAAAATAAAATAAAGCAGGGACAAGACAACACTCCAGAAAGTGGTCAACAACAGTACATGGAGGGGTGGCGGGATCATCCACACACCTATGAAGGCATTAATAATACTTTAAAGTTCACATTTATCATTATGTTATCACCCCCATCATCTTCATGATTGAGAAAGCACCATCATGATTGTAGTTCACATTTATCATTATGTTATCACCCCCGTCATCTTCATGATTGAGACAGCACCATCATGATCAAAAGAAAAACCACACACACTAAGGGCAATATCATTAAATCCTCCCAACCTGGAACTCCAAATTACAGAGGATTTGGGAGACAGTTCTCCCTTCTACCACTTCCTTGGCTTCCGTCAAGCAGTGCAGGTAGTTGTCCACAAGGTGAAGATCAGGCAGCCAGACGCTCCAGGTGACAATAAAGGAAATGGGCTTTATGGGGGGGGGGAATCCCTTCAAATATCAATAAAATAATAGATCCCAAAAGCAGGGTAGTAATGGAAAACAAAAGAAATCTATAATTTTCATTTACCTCTTTCATGATGGAGATCTCTCATTTATAGGGTCACCATAAATCGGGGGTAAATTGACAGGACCATACGGCATAGCTAAATTACATTATGATTGCAATGTTAACAAGATATAATTCCACTTCTTTTCTGCTACCACAGCAAATGTTTTCGTTGTTTTTGGAATCACGGGGGTGAAACAAATAGTGGTGAAGGAATAGCAGATGGTTCAAGTGTTGGACCGTGTTGTGCCTTGTGCTGCTGGCTCGTGTTTTGCTGTTAGCGTTGGGGCTATGTAGACAGGAAGAGTGTGTGTTTTGCGTTACAGCAGCTTGTAGCATTTGTGTCTTTGTTCAAGAAACTAAGATTGAACAGTTTTAGCTATTTTTCAAAAATGAAAAGAGTTACTTCATAGTCATGATCTTAATAATAATAGTTTGCTGCTTCAGATTGTTTAGAAATGTAACTGAAGATAATTACTTTGAAACACTCACCTTCGGAGTTCTGGCCTGTGAAACAAGAAGACAACACAGACAGTGGAGCACTGCTACTACCCTGGCATCATTAGTAGGCAGGTCACAATATCCTCTATTACCAGCTGAAACATTTCAACTATGTGTGGCCTACAATAGCCTGGCCTTGAGGTGACAAAGGCATGACTGAATAATGGTCACCAGGTTCCCATTTGATGAAAAAAAAATGCAGCTTTCTTCCCAGGTGGAGTTGGTGCAAGATGATAGCCTTGTAGATAAGTAATAAGTAACATAATTTACACCCTACTCTTCTGACTGCAGAGCACTCAGAGTGGCTTCTGAGCCTAAGTAATGCAAAGCAGTGATTGTATATCAAGAAACAGACATCAAAAAACATAAATAAAATGTTAAAAATCGATCTAAAATGCAGTACCAAAACAAGCAGCAATAAAATCTTAGACTTAGCAAGACTGGTGAGAGAGAAAATTTTTCATTTTTGAATCAAAACAAGAAAGTCTTTATCATAGCCTGATCTTCCAAGCACAGCTGCCATTCTCTCAAGTAAAGTGTGGGAAAATCCATGGAGTGTGCAGGAAGACTAAATAGAAAGACAACAAAGTGTGATCTGTGTTGAAATATCCATATAACCAGATTTCTCTAGACCAGTGGTTCCCAATATTGAAAAACCCAGATATTCTTAGACTGCAACTCCCAAAAACCCTGGCTACACAGCTGGTGGGAATTGCAATCTTTGGGAATTGCAGTCCAAGAATACCTGAGTTACCCAAATTTGGGAACCACTGGTCTACCTATTCGGTCATTCAGAAATCATGGCATGTACCAAAGTTATGAGAGAGTGTTCTAACTCCGCCTTCTCTGTTTCTGATGTCATAGTTCTCCTACATATAAAAAGGAACAAACCTAAACAGAGGAGCTTCCATTGTCCATGGAGTTGATATGCTGATCTTAGGGTCCTATTTCAGGGAGAGATTCCCATGGATAGTAGAGTGTCTCCTTTTCAGACATAAAGGAGAGTGATGACCCCAGAAAACAGAGTGCGGTGCTCTACCTGTATTAAGGAAATGCAATTTCTGAATAACTGAACACAACTTCTTATCTGGAGCTGTCTTAAACTCTATTCAGGCATTTATAAAATGAGTTAAAATAAAGACGAGAAGAGTGATGTGTGCCAACCTGACCCCCTCCACAGTCGCTTTCTTCAAGCATGCAGAGTGACAGTCTCAGGGGGATATCATCCTTCTGTATTGGGAGCCGGTACACATGCTGAAGACTGCGGACATTTTGTGAGTGCTTCCACCAAAGCAAGTAGGACACATTTCCAATATATGCATCAGGGCTGTGGTTAAGAGTAACTGTAAAAGTGGGAAATCATTTATAGCGCAATCCAACATCCTGTTTATTCCAAAATAATCATAGTTAAGATGACAACCTCCAGGGTAAACCCAAAACATTCTGGCAGAGAACCAAGCGGCGAGTCATCAAAATCGAGATAAGTAGAATGTCAACAAGCATAGAACTGATTCTTCCTTTTGTTTCCATAGGGTTAAAGATGCATTCCTCTCCTGGTGTGCAGCCTGAAAGAACAGAGGCAGAGCTAGAGACAGCTCTGTTGTAAAATACACGGTATTTGAGATTATGAACGTCTGTCCACTCTCCTCTTTTCATCTGTGCTCAGTTACTTGTGCAGCCTAACTCTCAGCCATGTTGGAATTGCTCAGGAGGAAGAGATGGAGAGGAGCTGCTGCCCCTCCAGCATTTGCCATGGGAGGTGTCATCGCATGTCGCCTAATCACTGTCCTACATGTGGCCTAATGGTGACACAAGAAAGTTGCCCTATTCAATTCTTATCTAGGTGTGGGGAGACTTCAAGAGCTGAGGAGCACATGCTGCCCAATTTCCTTCTTTCTTGGCGTTTGTGAAATGACCACTCCAAAGAATTGGAGGTGGTTCTATCTAGCCAGTTGGTTAGGTTCCAGCTCATGCGGAGAAGCTCCCTGGATCGAGCAGCCTCCCCTTCTTCAGGTGTTCATGTGTTGAAAGTCATATGGAGGAGGCAAAGCTAGTATGATCCCCTCACATCGTGTGGACTCAACACACTCAGGTACTGACTAAACAAGGCTATTGTATTTCTGATGTGAAGGACAAAACGCTCCCCCATCCTTCTACAGAAGTAAACAGGACGGGCACCTGAATCTTTAGTTGAGCACTGACAATGGTATCCTCTATTACAACTGAGTGCAGCTGGTTCCTATAGGAGGTACATGACAGGCCATTTGACATGCACATCATTTGGCTCCCCAGCAAAGGGCTGTGGGTATGGGGGTTTAGGAAGGATGGGCCTTCTGCCTGAGATTGTTGCATCTAATGATAGGGCTGGCCCCGGCTACCTCCCTTTCCCAATTGGCACTGACTTTCCAAAAAGTTTCATTTCTCCATGTCTCAGTTTCCTCCATGTTACACAGTGCTGCTGCCACCAGTGCATATATTAAAGAGTGTCTTAGGTAAGCCTCCAGATAAGCTCATCCCAAACCACTGGAACAGCTCTGTGAAACAATCCCTGATGCATATGTTGGGAGACTCCTGCGTGCTTTGATGGAAGAAAACATGAATCTCTTGATGTATTGTGCTCATTAAAAAAACTTATGCCATTTAATCCATTCCTGAAGCAAACTTTCTGCAGGGGAAACACTCTTGATATAGTGAATCACAGTGATTTTGATGGTCTTCTCTCCCCCCCAACACTCTTGATATAGTGAATCACAGTGATTTTGATGGGCTTCTTTTCTCCCTTTCTTCCTTTTAGGGACATCAACATCTGTTCTACTCTATACTGTAGGGTAAAGGGGACCCTCCCTCTATTTCCACTTTGTCACTAGCCAAAAATAATAATTTACCAGCTCTCCACCTGTGTAAATGTGGGTGGGAGGGAGTGTATTGGGAGTTGTCTTTTGACAGTCATGCAAAGATTGAAAAATAATTTAAATCACCTTTCTCCAACTTAGTACCTTCAGAATGGATTGGACTATGGTTACTATTAACACAAACCAGAATGACAATTGGATATGTTGGACAAGGATGATGGACTTTGAAATCCAATTTATATAGAAGACACAAAGGAGGGTGTAATTTCTTTTCCAGCCCCACACCTCAAATAATAGCCTGTCTGTGTGATTTTTGAGTCTGTAACTGTATCTGTGTGTTTGTCTATGTGTGTGTATCATGCCTTTGTGTGTGTTTAAAATCATAGGCTGTTGTAGGTAAAGTTTTAGGACACCACACTTACTTACTTACTTACTTACTTACTTACTTACTTACTTACTTACTTACTTACTTACTTACTTACTTACTTACTTACTTACTTACTTACTTACTTACTTACTTTCAATAAACCAGAATAAAAAGTCCTTCCTGCCTCCCATTTCTTTAAATAATTCAAGCACCTTCACAGCCAATTTAAAGGGAGTCCTATCATATTATTTCCTGAGACCTCTAATGTTGACCTTTTCCCCTCTATAATCTAGAGGTTAAACCTGACCGTAGCAGTGAGTAACAGATGGCTAGGCCAGATGCAATGAAGTCTGAAAGGCTCTTCTAAGCTCACCGAAACAAAACCACTTTCCACAGCATTTAGGATGCTCTCCGGTTCCTAAGGGCAGCAGTAAACCCTTTGCTTTGAAATGGGAAAGGATTTCTGGATAGCCAGCCATCCCGGAAGCCGATGCATCCAAATGAAACATGGCCCAAGGTGGAAATAATTGCTTCCCAAATCAGCAAGAAAAGAATTTGCTGTTCAAACCCTTGTTTGAAATTCTTCTTTCACCTGAAACCCTTTGGCTTAATCCCTGAAATCTCATCTCCAACCAGCATCAGGTCTATAAACACAGCACTGGTATAGCCGTTGTGCCTCTTCTTCCCTTTGCATCTCTCCCATCCCTGCTTTCCTATTCTTCTTGCCTTCTTCTTGGATAGGGATGATCCAGGGATTTATTTGGTCCAAGGTTTCCTATGAATTTACCCTCTTTGCACCTCTTGAACATACACGTAAGACTGAAGCAATCAAAGTATGATTTGTCAGAATTTGGAAGTGCAGCTTGCAGCTCAAAAGAAATACACAAAGAAGTGTATTATTTTAAGAAAAGGCGTGCACAAACATGCAGTTATGAGTAAGCATATTCACAAAAACCCAATATGTTAGATCACTCTCAAGAAGTGTGAGTGCTCACTTTTGAGAGTAGTGCAGACAAAAACAAAAACGAGGTGAACACATGTTGGCTTGTTTTTTCCCGACTGTACAAAGCAGAGATGGGGATGAAGTGCCAAAATGGTTTGATGACCCATGACCCATGAATTGCTGGTCCCCCTCCCCACCCCCCGTGGCCCAACGAATCATGAATCAATTTGTTGGTTTGTTGGGTCATTTTTTAAAAGGCAGCCCCTGGTGAGATGTTAAATAAATAAATAAATAAATAAATGAATGAATGAATGAATGAATGAATGAATGAATGAATGAATGAATGAATAAATAAATAAATAAATAAATAATTTTTTTTAAAAAGCCCTGGCTCCCACAGCCTTCCTATGCCACATGGCATAGGAAAAGGGGGAAAGGGATCAAAGCAATTCCCTAGCCCCACTGCCTTTGCTTTGATCCCTTTGCTTTAATCCCTCCCCCCCTTCCTATGCCCCTGTGGTGCATAGGAAGAGGGGGAAAACCCGACAAAGCCATCCCGAGCTGTGGAGTCACTTTGATTCCTTTCCCCCCCTCTTTCTATGCCCCTGCAGGGCATAGAAAGAGGGGGAAAGCCTGACCCAAGCCATTTGCCAGCCTCTGAGGTGGGATTCCCTTTGAGGAGGCTTTACCAAGCTGTTGGAAAATCCCTCTCTGCTTATGCCCCCAAGGAACAGCTGATCTGCGGGGGCATAAGCAGAGAGGGACCAAAGGGATGAATATTAAAGTGTTATATTTGTGGCTTCATATTGGTCGGGGTCTCTGGACTCCAGGAATACGAAGCAATGAATATCTGATGACTCAGAGATATTCATTAAATATCCTGACTCATTTT